TCGTCTGTTTTGGGCCATAAGGAGTTTTTGGTATATCTTATAGCTAGTTCGGTTGTCTTTCTTTTGAAGAAAAAAGAGCCCATATATCATAGGTAGAACTCGGGATATTTGCGATTTAAAGAGGTGGTGGTAGTCTGGTGTCACTGATAAAATTAGCCAGACTATGGTCACCAAAATGTGGCTACTTCCGAAGCTTGAGTATTCATAGAAATTGCAAATTTACACTTTCATGACTGTGATTAACGTTTTTGTAGTAAAGATCACACACAATGTGTTTTTAAAAGGACGTAAAAGATGCTAAGCCGCCCCCCAAGCATGGGCACTTATATGACCCAATTGTGTTGCAAGTGCCGTAAAACTCTTTCTAAAACAAGACATCCAAATTCAGAAATGAAACCACTCACCATCTAGGTCAAAGGCGAGGAACATGAGCTCAAGCCCAATCTGGTTGTCAGCTTCCAATCTCTCGGCCGATCCATCCCCGAGCTCTTCTTCCACCGGCCCGTCCAGCCCCGTAATCTTCTGGAAAATCTTAGATCTCGCAGTCTGAAGACCTTCCTGGGAACCATCATCTCCCACCTGACTCCTTCGTCCTACCCTCGGGTAAGAACCGTACGCCGACTGCGTGAAAATCCCTCTCTTCACCGCCGGAGCGCCTGCCGAGAAATCGGAAAACCCTGAAGCCGTGTTCGGGTAAAGAATGTCCGTGCCAGCAGCTGCGCCGGGGGAATCCCGTCGTCCTATTCGCGGGTAATGGTTTCCGTTTCCGGTTGTGTAGAAGCTCCGACGCCCGATCCGGGGGTAGTCGCTGTCGCTGCCTTTGGTGTAGAACATTGCGCATGCGCTGCCCGTCAGGACGCACAGGGCCAGTAGGCTGCTGCTCACGTGGGACTGCATCTTGGGCTGTTTACCTGTTTGATATAAATGAAATATAATTAATGATAAATATAGTAAAGGATATCACGGAAACTTACAACATTCTCTTCCCAGCCAGGACATCCAACTTGCTGGAGATAGAAAGCTCTTTCTGCCCTCGACGCCCAAGAGGTACAAGAGGACACATAAAGGTAAGGAAAATGATAATGATGATGATAATAGTAATAGTAGTAGTAATAGTAATAGTAATAGTCACAGTAATAGTAATAGTAATGACCCACACTCGTAGCATACTATTCTATGCACTTAAAAACCATTTTTTTTTAAAAGAAATGACAACTTTCGTTTGTTCGAGTGTTTCTTTTGTGTGAGTAAAAAGAAGTACTTTGAATCCAGTAAACGCCATTTTGAGCAGAGAAAGCAAGGCAAACAGACGCAAAACAAAAGACGGACAGAAAAGAAGTAGGTGTCGGTAGCTTACTCCTTCTATCCTATAAAACATTAAAATTTGTCGTCCACATCTCCCCTCCTTCTATTTCGTGTTTGTTACTCGCTTGTAAAACCTCTCATCTTCGGCACTTATGTGACCTGATTGTGTTGCAAGTGCTTGAAACTCTCACTCAAACTAAAATATGCGTAAGACTCACAACTGCCACCCTTTGATAATTTGCACTTAAGTAATTTAAAAGAAAAATAAATTGAGGTACGTCACGATAACATGAAGCAAAATAGATAGAAAAAAAACAACATGGTAGGCTAGAATCCATATGGTGTGATTTGATCACATTCGATATAATTTTAAAAAACTTGACTAAACACTGAGAAGTTAGGTGAGATGACACAATGTAATACCTGCAAAATAATACAAAATAAAATTATCTAAATTGTGCCGATGCTGCCGTAATATATTTTGTATCATGACAATAGTGCTTTTTTTTTTTTGCAAACAAGATTTTTGGCCCATGTTCAATCTGACTATAACTGACTGCCTATATATACTCAACAACAAAAGTTACGCAAGTCATATAGCTACTTCAAGACCCGGGTGTTTAATAACCCATATTCGCTAGAATTTAGGCCATGACCGATTTTTTTTATTCTGTGATGCTGTGAGCTCATGTCACGAAGCTGTAAAAGGCTTACAGTATAAAATGATGTCACAATATGGTGGAGAAAAAAAAAATGCAAACCGAGTACTTTCTTGAGCATGCCAGTTGGTGAGCAGTTTTTATCCTCTGAAAAGTGTTCACCCGACCAAGGGATATAAATTGACAGGACGTAACGCTTCCTTCAGTCGAGTGTTTTGAGCCAGCGACCAAGCCACGACTCATCGAAGCAAACCGAGAAAGGGCTATCAGCAGATTGCAGGCAGGAGAGAGTCCAAAAGATGGGTCAATTGCCCTGGGTGTGTGCCTCTCAATAATATGTCACTCCGAAGACGTTTTCAAGTTACTGGAAGTACTCGTGATACTCACAGAACTGGCCAACCATGAGTGATGTCAGTACGCCAAGACCGTGCCCTTCAGTGGAATCACCTGCGAGACAGCTTCATGTGTGCTACTGAATCGGCCGGAAATCTCGTTGGAAACCTTGGGAGACCCATTTCAGGTCAGATTGTGCACCGCTGGCTTCGAGAAGGACAACTACAATGTCATCGACCTTTGAGACAAGCAGTCCCCTGTGCCAGATATCAGCAGTGAAGTTTAGCGTGGGCTCAGCAGCATGTGAGCTGGACCTGGCAAAAGTGGAGAAATGTCCTAGTCACTGACGAAAGCCATTTTTGCGTCAGTCGAGGAGATGCAAGAACCCGGATATGGAGAAGACCCAACCAACGGTTAGCTGACAACAACGTCCTGTAAGTCGATGTATGGTGTGGTTCCAGCATAATGATCTGGGGTGCAATCGGCCTAATCTAGCACTTGGGACCCGTTGTTTTCCAGAACATTGGACCTGGTCAAGGTAACAATGTTAATACACCGCGCTACATCCAACAGGTGCAGGCGGCTGTGGTCATGTCTCATTTCCAGCAACACCCGAACCTTATCCTACAACAGGAAAACGCCCGACCCCATACTGCTGGAGCTACAGCTGCCTTCTTACAATAGAACAATGTCAGGATGCTGCCATGGCCCCCAATGAGCTCAGACCTCAACCTGATTGAACACTACTGGGACCACATCCAAAGAGAACTGAATCATTTTCAGCCAAGACCAACAAAAGCACCTCAGCAGCAGCGAACCATCACACAAATCGGCGCAAATGTGAACATATTCATCACAGACTTGTGAGGTCAATGCCAAACAGATGCCAAGCTGTATTGAACGCAAATGGCGGGCACGCTCGCTATTGATTCAAAGCTGACATCACGACTTATGGACCTACCCTTTAACTCAAGTACATCATTTTTCACAGCAAATTCAAATTGTATCCTCTCCTAGGGGACTGTTAATCCTTACAGAGAAATCCTCTTCAATAAATGTGACCAAAAATCAATAATTTCACAAATTACTTACTAACGTTTTTATCTTCCTTCACATTGTATATCACTTGTGTTTCTTTTGTTGTTGGGTATAATAAGTTACTGTCATTACTGGTTTGTGCTAGAGTAAATGTAATCAACAATTTACGTGAACATTCGTTATTGTTTATTTTACATTATATTACTTATTCAGATTACCATTCTAATATGTGGTCACGTTAGATGATTCTGCATATGTTTGCTTGTGTGTCTGTGCGTTTGTATGTGTGTATGCACGCAGGCACGTGTGAGTGAGTGACCAATTGATAAATGTGACCAGAAGTACCCTATCTAATCAGAATTCAGTAAGCCACCATTGCTAGATAATCTCTCAGATAGCCCATTCTACTTGAGGATCCCTCATCACTAACAGCAGGACTTCGCCCCAACCACTTGCCACATTAAAAGTTAAACGACGCAGCTCCAGCTCGTTCCTCTAGTTGTCGGAAGCCATGGGAACGAATGCACTGATTTGAACTCATTCAGGCCACGCTGAGATTTTATTTGAGATTTGAGCGTGGGGGTGTTTTTGTTTGTTTTCTATTTTTGTTTCGGGTTTATTTGTTGGGAGTTTTTGTTTGTTTTTTGTTTTTCTTTTAGTACTTAAAAAAGGAACTATCATTACCTTATTCACACAGATTTTTAAAAAATCTCTTTTATGATTTATTCCTG